ATGTGAAATGTATATGATATCCTCAAGCATAATTATTTATTTCAGCGCTAATTTTGTGACAGCAGAATGGGATTTCGACCTTAAAAATACATGTCGTACTGTGTGATAAACCGTAAAGGTGGAGAAGGAAATTCGTGACGTCATTTAACCAAAGGATTGAACTCATCGAACTGAAACTAGCCGCTAAATGTCGAGCAGATCTGTTACCGAGTTGCCTGTTGTATCTGCACGCAACTACTATATGTGTAAACTTGCGATTTCAGCTGGATCGAACTCAGTTTGATGTGGTTGGACGGTCATGATTAACCAAGTGATTATAGGGTAGAAGCAAAACATTTCTTCTTCACGAAATTATTCCCAATCAGTTCCTTGCAATTAAGTCATTGTCACTACGACTGGCTGTGGACACTCAAGATGACAACTACATTCCTCTGTTCTCGAATCCAGTTTTATACAAGACGAAAAGGGTAAGTACCTCACCATTTGCTTGGCATAGACGGATGGGAGAAAGTGCTTCACAGCACCGATTTGACTGCGATGGCTGAGGTGGGAGTTTTGACTATTGAAGCAGAGTGGTTCAGTATTGCATGCTCCAATATAGCATCTTCCTTCGTCCTCATGGTCGTATTAAGGTACTATGAAATTCATTAATGCACATGTGCATCTGGTTTGAAAGAATGCGTTTGACTCGAGATGTTAAAAGCATTACGAAAATTTGTTTTAGCGGTTAACTTAGCGAACCTAATTCCAGGAATTAACACTTTTTTCATTCACGTGAATGCGACATGCAGCGGCCCTACGTAATGTGATAGATTGAACTTTTGGAAGCTGTGTGCTTTCAGAAGAAGAAGTTATCTCTTCATCCGCAACCCTCTCCAAAACGGGGTTCAATCCCCGCAGTAGCCAAGACATCTCACATAGTCTTAGTGCTTTGCCAAACAGCGAATTCACTGTTGGTTGTGATGCACAACAAATTCACCAGTAAAATTATGAAACCTGGAGCCTTTAAAAAGGCCATCATTTCGATTGGTGTACAAACAACATGAAGTGAAGCATACATTTCCAAGGGCCTATTGTTTAGTGTAGAATAGGGTGCAAATATTCAGCTGAGGGGAGGAGACCGGAGCCTGGCCAATTCGAATAAGGCGATAGAGTTTTCCTATTCACCGTAGCCGAAACGAGTAATAAAAAACAGTACCTATGAGGAAATGGTGAAACGGTAGCCTTCGTTAAGGCCCTACTTCGCAAAGTAATTTTCTGTATTAATTTGAGGACGTAACTTGGATAGCAGTACTAATTAGTGTCAGTTTTTGCTGCTGATTTGTTAAAACTATGACTGTTTTGTTTCATATACAGATAGTGGGAAAAAAATGCAGAAGAAACATTTTGAATGAAGTGTGCATCTTATAGTGGCGAAACTCGTATCATTTGCGTGCGTTTACGGCGTAAGATTGAAACCGCAATCGAAACCTTGCTATAGATGTTTACCACAAATAAAGATATGTCTTCCTTTCGTAAGTGCGAATTTTCAGCTCTGACTGGAGTTGCTGAAAAAAATTACAGGATGGCCTCTTTTGGACGGAGTGTTAAAAGCAATTACAGACGATAAGAATTGCGTGTTGGTTAATAGCCGGAAGCGACTTCCAAACTGCCCAGTGCCGGCAGGCTACAATCAGGGCAGTGTGCCATCAGCTGGACTTTGCGTGGAATTTGGATCCACGGCATTGAAAGCATTTCATCCCATAAAATTGGCTTGGATTGCTGCCAATTATTGTGTTGAGAGTCCACAACCTTCCGACCATTCGCACTATCGAGCCTGAAGTCCTTGTTAATTTTGTCTAACAGCCCTATCTGCATTTGGTTGATACAAGTGCTTTGGCCTCAAGTATGTCTGGTTCCGAATACTAAAGCCTTATTGAATTGTTTGGGTCTTAAAACCAGTAAATGCTTTACAGGGGCGATCGCACCGTGAATCAACATGTCAGCGGTGAAGTGTCTCACTTCCTTCAGCCTGTCCTAGCATTAACTTTAAGCAACCATGCATTTAAAGTGCCGTTGAAGTGGTTTTAAAGGTCCTTCATAATTGACTACGTCAGTTCTAGTGGCAAACGATAAGTTAAATCGCGCTAACAGCTGCGATCGTATCTCAATAAGCGGGATAATATAAGCACCCCATTAAGAGAGCTAAATATCAATTTTTCGGAATGATAGTAGGAAAGGTTAAAATATCAGTGGGATTAGCGAGAAGGGGTCAGCGGCCAATCCTCTTTGAATGTCTCATTACACGGCCATTGGCCAGCACCCGTTTGCTATGCTGTTGGCTCAGCTGATGTTCTACAATTCGCACTGACAGAAGTGGAAGTGTACGAACTTTTCTCCTCCTCCTCCTCCTCCTCCTCCCCCTCATCCTCTTCCTCCCCCTCCTCCTCCTCATCGTCATCCTCCACTTTTTCCTCCTCCTCCTCCTCCTCCTCCGCCTCCGCCTCCGCTTCCGTCACCAACATCACCACCACCGCCGCCACCACCTCCTCTAGGTAAGACTTGGCTCTACATAACCACTTTGAGTGAATGTGAATGCTCTCCTTTAACCAATAATACTTATTAATGTGCTTCAAGTCCCAAGAACCCCAAAGGTCATTTATGTACCAAACTGCAAACAAATCATTTATATTGCAAAAGGTGTCGAGTAAATGGCAAAAACTATAGAAAAAA